TAGTCCATCAGGGACAAATTCTTGCCAATGGATTTGCTTTTGCAAGGAAGTTCACCTTTGTTCCTCAAGCATCATCATTAAGTGTGTGTGCCTGATGGGAGGTCCAGGTTGGCCTGTGGAGGAGCTGGGGATGGATTCTGAAGCCACCTGGGGACCAGTGGCTGCTGCTGCTCAGTAGAGGGGTGGGCATGGCTTTGTTAATGGCTACCCAAGGCTCTGGCAGCTGATCTGAAGGCCCAGGGCTGTTATCACAATGCCATCATTAGTTGAAACAAAATCACTCCTTGTAACTGGAATATAGTTACCATAAACAACATATGTTATTGGGCATTCTATTTCTAATAATTGTAATTATAGTGGAATACTTGCCATTAATATAATAACAACAACGATTGACTAGCTCTCTGTTCCAGACCAATAACTTCACCTGAATGCATTCTTTGTTCAGGGGGGAAAAAAAAGGTAATTCAATATCCCTGATAGTCAACAAAGCTACTGTTGAAATGGAAGACACACAGATGAAAGCATTCCTGAGATGCAAGATGGTGCCGGGTAGATGAAAAGCCACCTGTCAGCCTTACTCTTAGCTAACAAAAGGACACTGTCTGCATCCGCTCACTCAAAGGGTAAAAGGAAATGAAAACCCCAGAGATTTCCAGAAGAGTCACCAGGGCCTGGGTACACCTTCATTCCAAAAGGGTGGGCCTTGGGCTGGATGTTCAGTGGAACTGCAGGTCCTGAGGGTATGGGTCACCCTGTTAGGTAAAGATGGTTGACCTAAGCCTTGACTTGACAGTCACCCTATAATTGCCAGCCCCCTGACCACTTTTTGGGCATGGATTTATCTTGGGGACTTTCCAGCTTCTTTCTACTTACAATGACAGAACTTTAGAGATGATGTAGACCAATGGCCTCATTTTACAGATCTCTAAACATAGATCTCCATAGATCTTCTTCACCTTTAAACCTCTCACAATGCCTTGAGTATGGCTGAAATGCTTAGGGTAATGAAGAATGAACAGTTAAATCATAACAAAACTTCAGAGTATCATGCTGTGAGTAAGCTCTTCCCCTAGAGTAGTGACAGCACACAGGTGTCTGGAGGCTTCCACAAAATCACCATTTAATTGGGTAGTTTTCTTTTTACCCCTAACTCCTGCTACTATCTCTTCCCAGAAACATATATGGTAATGTTCCACATAAGCATGCTTCGGTCAATGACAAACTATATATAGGACAGAAGTCTCATAAGATTATAATATTGTAATTTTACCATGCTTTTTCTATGTTCAGATGTGTTTAGATACCCGAATACTTGCCATTGTGTTATAATTGGCTGCAGTATTCAGTACAGTTACCTGCTGCACAGGTGTGTAGCCTAGGATCAATAGGCTAGGCCATGGAGCCTAGGTGTGCAGTAAGCTACAGCACGTAGGTTTGTGTAAGTACACCCTATGATGTTCGCACAATGACAAAATTGCCTAATGACACATTTCTCAGAGGGTATCCCCAACAATAAGCAGCCCATGACTGTACATTGCTAAAATAAATACATGTAGAATGTAAAATTAGAGCAAACAATCAAACAACAACATAAAAAAAATCCTCATATTTACACTAGCAGCCAGGAACTGTCTTTTGAGTTCTGAGGACAATGACCTCCTTTCACTGACCCCAAGTGGCTGGAGTCAGTCAGTAGTCCACACATACTTCTTTACTTGTTTCCCCTTTGCCACATTCACTAGGAAGATGCTACAACCACCATCACCAGGTGGCCAACTCTGGTTCACCTCTATGCTCACATTCAAAATGGCCCTGGGATTGAGCTGGGTAGAATGCAACCTCCAAGCCTGGACCAGAAGCACCCCAGGAGAGCTTCCTTTTCTTAGAATAAATAAACATCCAAGGTAAAGAGGAGCCAAAATGTATTCCATGTGATAAAGGAGGCATGGGCGATTCCAGACTACCTCAGAGCCGCTCCCTGCCATGGCCTGCCAGGCTCACCATACCATGGCTCATGGGAAACGGAGAGGATGTCGGTGTGGCAGCAAGAGCTTAGTACATACAGCTCCATATCCTTCTCTGGGCCATTTCCTCCAGACTAGTTCCTTTTTCTGGGGCCCTGGCATCCCATCCTCTGAGATGCTGTGAATCTGTGGCAGTCTTTGCTTGTGTCAGGTGTTGAGGGGTGTCCCAACTGGCTTGGAGTCTCGGTACTTGAAGCCATCATTCCTCTAAAATCTCTGCATTGCCCTGGGAAACACGGTGGGCTCTTATTTTATTCTTCTTCCCCCACCCACTTTTTTTTTTGGATACAGGATCTTGCTCTGTTGCCCAGGCTAGAGTGTAGTGGCTTGCTCGTGGCTCACTGTAGCCTCAATCTCCCAGGCTCAAGCAATCCTCCCATCTCAGCCTCTCAAGTAGCTGGGACTACAGACATGCAACACCATGCTCAGCTTACATACCTACTTATTTTTACTTTTTATAGAAAAAAATAAAAATATTTTTCTACTGGGGAGAGTTTACTATGTTGTCCAGACTGGTCTTGAACTCCTGGGCTCAAGTGATCCTCATACCTTGGCCTCCCGAAGTGCTGGGGTTACCATGCCTGGCCTTATTTTATTCTCTTCTGGTTCTTTTTCCCTCTTTCTGAGCAACAGAAGGAGGCTCCTCTTCTATACTTAAAAGAAAGAAATTTGGTACAAGAAGAGCAAACAAGAAAAAAAAAGCAGAAATTCAAAAGCTTCCTGCAAGATAATTAAATGATTAGAGGCCTTCAGAATCCACCAGCTAGCTCAATTGTTTTTGCTTTCAGTTTACTCTTGGGCCTGTCCGCACATAGAACCTCTGCCAAACACGGCAGTCTGGAAAGCTGGAGAGAAGCTGAGAACCACTTTGTCTTAACTCCCATCAAATTATTTGCAGGTTTCAGACCAGAACAAGAAAAGGATTCTTTTCACATCCCTGTCCCCAGCCTTGGTGGGTCAACCAGTCCTTCTGCTCATGAAACCACACCCCAAGACAGGCCCAGCCAGGCTGATGAGACTGTACAGCCTTTTATCAAGGACATTACCTTGCTGTCTGACTCACATCGCTCTTATTACCTTTATATCCATGTCGTCTTTTTTAAAGTAGAGAACTGACACATAAGTATGAGATTCACACTCCTACGTAAAATCCAAGATGCAACCACTCTCCTCCCTTTCCCTATAAAGGGACAGGGTCTCTTTTCCTGACTGTGAATCCATAGTAGCCATTTCCAGGCATGAACAGATTCCCATGGAGAGGCAGTTGGTCTTTTGTCTGAGGCTTTCATAATCTCTTCTTGTTTCTGTCTGAAACTTGTAAGGAACTTCATGGGAGCTGAGACAAAGGTTTTCAGCCTCTCACCAGCTTTCCAGACTAGTGTATCTAGCAAAGGTTTTATCTAGCAAAGAGGCCCAAGAATAAAATGCAATCAAAACATTTGAGCTATGTGGAGCCTTCCAAAGGTCCCTAGTCATTTCATTATCTTAATGAAGGTTTTCCAATTTCTACTCTTTCTTTCTTGTTTGCTCCCCTTGTCTGTTACTCAATCATGACCATCCTCTCCCTTGACAACATCTCCACTCCTTGCTTTTACTTCTAAAATGAATCACCTTTCTTACTGTCCACCTATAGAACTCCTGCTCAGCCATCAAGACTTGGGAAAAATGGGATTTGGGTCTGGATTTTCTGATGGCTAAGCACAATGCAGTCACACCCACCGTGCTAGGGGAGCCCTATGCAGCAGGTGTTAGCATGGGTTGTACATTGACCTTCCCTTTCAGCCTCAGATAAAAGAGAGCTTCTCTCCTGCCATGAGGGTTTGGCCAAAGGTAGGATTCTTAGTGGGGTAAGAGTCTGGAATGGGGAGGGCATTTGATGGGCCTGTATGTTCTCTCAATGCCCCTCCTTCCCCCTCCCCCCACCAAATCCCCTATGCTTCTTGCACCTGGACAGGTCCCTTCTCTCACAGCTGTGGTGCTGGCCACATGGTCATGACACCTGTGTGGTGTGTAAAGGGGTCTGAAAGATACACCCAAGACTAGGGGTGGAGGTGAAGGTGCTGGAGCCTGCTGAGTCCAGTGCTGGCTGAGAGAGTGCAAGAAACACCGTCATGTTTGAACAACAGACTTTTCCAGAGGTATACCTGTTATCCCTGAAGTCCTTGCCCACACTCTGACATTCTAAGAGAGATAACAGCATAGGCAGAAAGTATTTTTGGTGCAGTGATGATGAATGTTCAAGAAGAAAAAAACTTCAGAGGAAATAGAAAGGTCACATTTTAGCCTACAGTATCTCAGTGATTCTTCAACCTGGTCCGAGCATCAGAACCACAGGGAGGGCCTGTTGAAGCCCAAAGGGCCTGTTGAAGCCCAAGTTGCTGTACTCTGTCCCCGGAGCTTCTCATTCAGTTGGCCTAGGCTGGAACAGAAGACTCTGTATTTCTAGCAAGTTCTCAGCTGATGCAGATTCTGCTAGTCTGGGAACCATGCTTTGAAAACCACTGCTCTAGCTCACAAGTTGACCATTTTTTTATTCTCATCTCTCTCCCTTTTACTCAACTTGCCCTCTTTGGGGGTCTCAGTTCTCCTCTGTCAACAGTGCCCTGAGGAATAGCTGAGGAGTCTGGACACAGTCCTGCTGTGTACCCACAATTATTTCTACGACACACCAACACACCCACCTCTTTGGAATCTTTCTAGGACCCATCTGGTGTGTGGAGGATCCTTCTTGCTGGAATGACCTGGAATACACCTTTGTCTATAACAGAACCTCCAGGGCTGATCCAGAACCCACAGTCCCAGCACAGAGTTTGGCATATTTCCTGCTTTTATAAAGTGGACCCTTAAGAGCCAGGAGGAAGGGGGTGGTCCTGCACGGTTTTCCTTTGGTTTCTCCTCTTAAGGGAATGTCTCTCTTCTGTGTCCCATGCTCAAAACAAGAGGCACTCACCACTCTGGCTGCCAGGGACCTACCTCAGGCAGCTTTACTCGGCCTTCCTGGAAGGAGCAAGTCTTGGGGTCATGGGTGCAGACATGCCGGTATTTACACCAGTGGCAGCGGTATGGACTCTCCACGCAGGACAGGCACCTGGGCACAGAGGAAGGGAGGCACAAATCTAAGAACCTGGATGAGCCCAAAGCAGAGGGCCTGACTCTCTAGGATCTAGCAAAACATTTTTAGTATTAAGAGAAACCACCATGAAATGCGCAGCAAGGGCAGATCTTATGCACATCTATCCCTTTACTCCCCAAGACCTCAGGAAGCTAATGGTCTCTGGTTTCCTTCCTTTCCCATATGTAGCTGACAACCCTGGTCCCCCAAGGCCAAATTAGCCCTCCTCCATCTCCATGGGATAATATCCTCCTTTTCAAAAGAGGGAATGATAAGGTCTGGAGTAGAGGGCTTGTGTAGAGAGACCTAAGAATTGGGGCAAACAAAAGATTAGGTTTGTATTCAAATGGACTCTGGGTCTCTGCTGCTGAGAAGCCACCTGGACCTTGCCTCATGAGGAAGTGACTGAGGCTGCTTGCTCACTATGATGGCTCCTCCGTGGTTGGCAACCCCACCCCTTACCTTTACCCCAGGAAACCAAGGCAATTTTATAGGAGCTCCTGATTGCTTAAAAGCTCAACATGGTTCCTTTTTCCAAAAACTCAAATGCCTCTCCATACAGGCTATGCCCTTCACGGTGTCGATGACCACTGCCCCAAACGCAGGTTTGTTGCTTTGGCCACGAATAGGCCACACTTTCCCCACAAGCCATCCCTCCCTCCAGAGCACCATTTCTTCTTTCCACCACCTGACTACCTGCTTGACCAAGGAAGAGCTGGTCACCCTGGGCCCTTCTCCCGTGAATCTCTTGGTTGAAATCTCTGGGAAAGTCCTGGCCATCTCACCATTACCTGTCCGGCTCCTCTACTAGTCCGTGGGCCATCAACTCTTGGAGGGTAAGGATTGAGTCTTTGTGTTGCATTGATTTTTGACTCCACCGTGTCTAATGAGTAACACATTCCCTTGCACATAGGAGATGCTTAAAATCATTTTATGGGCTTAATGGAAGCTTCACACATGATTTCACCTATTTACTCTGCTTCCCCAGAGGGGAAAGAGAGGATGGAGGGATTAGGCCACCGAGTGATAAAGACAGGGACAGCTCTGTCTGGTAAAGACAGGGACAGCTCTGTCACAAGAGGCAAAAGTAGAGTCCCAGGGCTAGAGCAACTCATTTTTGTCTGGGAGGGCTGGATGCCTTCTTACTTGGGGCCCCAAAGAGAGCTAAGCTTTAGACTCACAGCTGCCATAAGCAGACCAATAGACCCTAAAATTCCACCAGCCTAGATCCCCAAAGTGTCTCTTGTCATGTCATGCATGGATTGCAAAACAGGAATGTGTTAAAGCAAGCAGGGTTTTTTGAGGTCAGGTCCCACGGTTTGCTCTGTGGAACTCTGGGGATGCCATGGAGCTCCTTTGGAGAATGTGTAGTTTTGTGGGGCTCCTAGAGGGGTTCCAGGCCCCCCATCCTTTAATTAGAGAAGGTCCTGCTTCCATCTATTCTGTATACTGGGCATCTACACCTACTTTCAGTTTAGGTTTCTATGGTGAAAAGAAAAACAGGCTGGCCCATTCACAACCTGGTCCAAACCCATCATTTGATAAAGAAAAGGTAATATAATAATAGCAAGAACATGTGGTGCCTAAACACTGGGCCAGACATGGCTCTAAATGCTTCTTCTTAGCATGGCCCTTTTACCCTTTGTGGCTGTCCTATGGGGTAGGCAGAGCTGATATTCAGGGCTAGCAGCCAAGCACAGCATCCCAGCCAATGACTGCTCTGATGGGACAGTGCTCCTGCCATGTCAGTTGGTAAATATTTGCGTGACGCCCTGGGAAGGAGCACTACGATTTCCCTGTGGATAGAGGACTCTGGGGCACAGAATGGTTGACCGTCCCAGTTGGTCCAGCTGCAGAGCCAGAGCCTCTGCCCTCCCCACCTGCCATTGGAAGTTGGATGCTTAAGTCAAACAAAGCTGGAGCTGGAGCTGGAATCAGTCTTCCTGACCCCTGAGCCAGAATCTGCCCACCCCATACCTTTCCGCCTCCCTTTGGCCCCTACCAGACTGTCCTCACCTAGCCTGAGGGGCCTGTGGGGAGCTGAACATGTGATTGAGTGGTTAGACCACTTGCCCCTGTCCTGGATACACATCAGGGCCTCTCTCCCTCAGATCCATCCTCTGCCCATGGAGCTTGCTCTCTGTTCTTCACATGGGATGCACCACCCCACAACAGATGGTGGAGATGGAATTTAGTTAGAAGGACTGATATCAGGGAAGATGTATGCACTAGGGATGTGGAGAGCCCCACTCCCTAAGTTCTCACTCTCTGCTCTTCTAGTCTCTTTCCATTAACCCTGTGGGTACCAAAGGAGAGAGGGTGAAGGAGGTCTCCTCTGGGGCTTCTAAATGGTGACTCCCTGGGAATAGTGATGGGGTTTTCTGATCTTTGGATGAACCTTGACCCCAGGAACAGGAAGTGGGGTAAGGCAGGGGCCACTTACGAATTGTGGACGCTGCAATTGTAGAAGACAAAGCTGGTGCTGGCGAAGGTCATGCCAGTCTCCTTTGACTTGAGCTGCAGCTGTACGACATGGTGGTCCCCTACGAGGAGAGACGGCTGAGGGGTCGGGGAATGCTGAGGCCCCAAGCCAAGGATTCCCTGACCAGTGACACATGCTGGAAAAGGGAGCCTGCTCCCCAGGGTGCTGTTGGCTTAACAGGGCTCTGACCCAGCAGACCCAGTCCCAGGACAACCCTGAGAGCAGCTGCAGAGGGCAGTTCTAGTCTGTTCTCCCTGCCCACCATATCACTTCCCCTCTTCCACGTGTACACATACAGATGCACACTGCCAGGAATTCAAATGTGCATTCACATGCATGATATCCTGGCCAGACTCACAAAATTGATTCATAACCAGAAGAAACACATATGTAGACTTCTAGGAATGCTGCCACAAAACCATAAGAGGTTTTGCATGTATGTGTGTGTATGCATGAGCTCATTCCCCATCTCTGTAAAGAGAGCCCCTGTTCTGACACTACCTCCTCTGGGGGCGCTCAGGGTTCCACCGGTGTGGGAGACCCTGGAATCCTCAGCTGGCGCCAGGGAGGAGCTGCAGCCCATGTTTAATTCACAACCCTGACCTTAGGCCCCCACTTCAAGCCTTGTTCTTTGTCTTCCCTGAGAGCCTCATTAATCAATCAGCTCCGAACAAATGTGACAAGCCCAAATGGGAGGGACAACATGGAATCAATCTGCCCAGGCTGGGCCTGTCCCTCACCAGCATGGAGCCTCTGCCCACTGCTGTCTTTCCCAGGGCAGCTTGATCCCAATAACAGGAAGCTCTGGGGAGACCCGGGAGGGCAGAATGGGGAAGGCAGTGGTCCAGGGTCAGAGACCGGCCATGTGAGCATCCCTGCACCTGCTCAGTGGCCTCCTCCACTGACCTGCCAAGCCAGTGGAGCAGGTTGAACTTAACCGTTGTCCTTGCCTGCTCCTCCCCACCCTCTCTGCAGCTGCTCCTTGCCCAGGATGAGGGTGACTCTTGGGGGCTAACCTAGAGCTGAGACAGAAGGGCTGTAACAGTCAATGCCAAGGACAGCGGAGGGAGATTTCATCCCCCTCTTCCCATAACACACCCACCAACCCATGCCCCTTCCTCTGACTCTCCCCTGCCTGTAGGCTCCCTCAGTCCCCCCACATCTGTCCTAAGTTCTCATCCAGCCAGGAGGAAGACATGCCACTCAGTTGTGCCTCCGGGATGCTCACCGTTCTCTGTGATGATCCGGGGCACCTCCTTGGCTGCAGGGGAGTAGCACTGGATCTGATTGCCCACCACCAGCCCATCCATCTCTGACAGGTCCTCAAAGGTGCAGTTGACGCCAGCTGACAGCTCCGGGACATTGTAAGTCTCCAAGACCAGCTGTGAACAGCCAGGCAGGGGAAGAGAAGGAGGAGGGTGAAATGGGAAAAGGACAGGTATGGAATAAAAAAAGAAAGTGGGAGAGTGAGAGAGATCACAGGCAAAGCAAAGACAAGCAAGAGGCAATATTAACATGGAGAAGAGACTCAAGTTATTAGGAGAGCAGCACAGAGGCCGTGGTGAGATGCAAAGAGACAGAGACAAAAGAAACCTCATTAGGATCTAAATGGATTTGGCCCCAGGAAACAAGAATGCTTAGGGGATTTTCGTGGTGAGAGAACATCGGACAGGACTGGGGTGTGGCTGATGGAGCACCTCTTCCATTAGGCCCTATTTTGGAAAAACAGAAATACCAACCACCAAGTGCCCAGTGCTAGAACTTGGAAGTCACCTGTGCACTTTTCTCTCTCTCTACATGCATCTTTCCCATTTTATAGTTGAAGATATCATTCCCAACACCTTTTGTCACCTTTGATCATTTTTGGTGCTGGTGCTCCCTGCCTTTCTACTCTTTATGAATAGAGTCTCTTCCCCAATAGTCCTGTCCCTGTCCCCTTCTTGCATCCCCCCATGGACACTTAATTCTTTGATATCCTGCACCCTTCTCTCAAGCTGCTTCTGCTGGCCAGGCTTGGCCCAGTCCTCCAGAGAGGCCTTGGGCTAAGGCACTTTTTGGTAGGAGAGAGTTTTCCTTGCATCCCTGGACCCTACCCCAACCCCCATAACTCTTACCAGCACGTTGTACTGAGAGACAGAGATATTGTTGGGATGGACTGTCAGCCGGACACACTGCTTCATCTCTGAGGCAAACCTGCGGGGCTCCTTGGACCGCTCACACCGCTCCTTCCGGGTGCAACTAGGAAGGACATACCCTCGAGTTACTCAGGAGATGGCCACTTGGTCCAGGGAGGTCCGGATGCTGAGGTCAGGCATTTCCAGCAGCTCCCAGTATGTGTCCAAACTCAATGCGCCTGCAGCTAGACTTTTTGTGTCCTTCCTCAAGCCTGGTCCTCCTCCATCATTCCCAAATGTAGAAAAGATGGCAATTCCAATCACTTCTTGCCAAAGGCAGAAACTTGAGAGTCATCCTAACTCGACTCATACTCTCCAAACTCATATAAGGAATTGCACGGTTCTGTCTATTCACCCTCTCTGCACATCCTTAGGCCTTGCCATTCTCTTCCCCTCCTTAGGCAACCTGAGATTTGTTTTCTTCATATAGAAAATACACCTCCTTGCCTGTGAACATGCCAGTTCTTCTGTTGGGCTTCCCTCTCCTCACTTCTCCACCTGTCCAGTTCCTACTTTTTCTTCCAGTCATGGCTCAAGATGCACCTGCAATCTCTCCTTCCCACCCTAGGCAAAGTGAAGAGCTTCCTCCTAGGATCTCATAGCACCTTGGAGTCTCCTACTTTAAGAAGTCTGGAACTTCTTAGATTATATGACAATTATTGGGCTAAGTGCAGCCCTCTTCTACCAAGTAGGAGCTTCTCAGAAAAAAAGCAGCTATGTTCGATTTATTTTGGTATCCCCTCATGTACGCAGGTGGGAGAGAGGGAAGGAAGGATCAAAGGAGCTAAAAACTGTAGTTAAAAGCTTGCTCTGGATCAGAATCCTGGCTCTATCTAAGGTTTGCTGTTACTCTTCAGTTCTCTGTGTTGTACAAAGTGTATGGTGTCACAGGTGGACCATGACCAGTGTGACCTGGGATCTTGCAGTCCTAGCTGATGAAGGTTTGTGAAAGATGCATGTGAAAATCATGGACCTCCCCCAAATGCAAGCATCACTTAAGGTCACTGCATGGAGCTATCTGAATTTCAGGGAGCAGTATTTAATCCAACTCAGGTGAACTTTGTGGACATAGGGCTTCACCAAGTGGCCATGATTTGGAAACTGGACTACAGATTTTGTTGTGGGGTGGGGTCAAGCAGGGTCCTCAAGAGGGACAAGATGAGAGAAGATGAGAGCAGGGAAGTCACTCCAGAGTTGCTGATCTCTTTTGATTAAAGAGATAAGATTTTGCAGAGGAAGGAAGATGTCAGGAGCTGTTGCAGGGCAGGAGGGAGCCCCAGGCAAGGAGTTTATTAGGACACAGAACAGTCAGGGATAGGGAATCTACATGGAGAGGGAGCCTTGGGGAGGGAGACTTGGGGAGGGAACAACTGTCTCAGGAAGCAGACAGGTGTGGTGTGGGGTAAGGAGATGAGGGAAGGGGGCACCTGGATACCCTGAGCTGCTTTTGGGGTAACTCGGGCTTAGGGAAAGCTATGGGGGTTTCTCCTCCCACTTTTGGCCACAGCAAGAATGACAGCCTGGGTGGAGAGCCTGAGAGGAGAATCTAACAAATGAAGGAAAAATCATTGAAGGCCATGGACTGAAGCTGTTCCTCTAAGGATGGGATAAATGGAGCATCACAGGGACAGAACACAGGACTTCAAAGTAGATTGGATGTGCAATGCGAAAGTGAAAAACAACCCTGAACAGTACATTCATGGCTGCGAGGTATGAGCGCTTATTAATAGGCACATGATATGGGGTTTACATTGCCTAGCGTTTAAGTCTCATGACAATGCTGCAACAAACCCCACCTTGTCAGGACGTGTTGGGACACAGATGCACCCTGCAGCCTGTGCTCTACTATGGAGCTCTACCTCCTGAAACTTCCAGACTGAGGAGTGAGGGGCTCTACCCCTGCTGTAGACTAAGCCGGTTCTCCTCACCATCCTGGTGCCCTCTTCGTGTCCTTAGGGCAATTCAAACATTTTCCCCTCAATCTTTTTGTCTAGGTTAATCGCTGTTTTTGCCTGGCACTGGGATGCACTTTGAGTGTTATTGCAACTTGTTGGATGAAGATAAATTCTCCAGGGTGCTTCTAGGAAACACCCTCCCAGGAGTGAAGGATCAGGCGTGAGTGTGGTCACCCCCATGGCACTTCCTTGCTGCTCCAGCTGACCGATGGCAACAAGAGTGTCTGCCTAAAAGACTTGGAAGTTAATTTACCAGGCCAGCTCCTCTGCAAGGACTCCATTACCTTCGGCCATTAAGCTAATGTTATGGACTTTTCCAGAGTGTCTGCACTGACATCGCTATTAATAGTGTTATTACTCCCATTAACAGCAGACCCAGAGAGCTAGTACGGGCTTAAATTATTCACTGACTCCCCAACTTTGAAGTTCCTATTTCTAAGAGCAATCAGTAGGTCTGAAAAATGCCTTTGATTAAATTATGAAGAGAGGGAAAAGCAGAGCTGTTTCCAGGCCAAACATCACCTGGAGTTACCAAATAGAGGTTCGGATAGAAAAGACAGGACTCCATCTCTCTTCCAGGGGCAGGGAGGGAGAGGTGGCACACAGGTGTTTGCTTGGGGGATCTCAGGACAAGTTCTACCTGCAGTGCTTGCTGCTTCCAAAGTTCATGTGGTTGCGTCTTGTCACTGCTCCTGAGAGTGACAAAGGAACTACTCATCACCTTCCCCCAATTTTAGGTTTTATAGGGAAGTCACCTGTAATTTACAATTTTAAATATCACGTTTAACTGTATAATCTTGGGCAAATTACTTAACATCTTGGTGCCTCAGCTTTCTCATCTATACAATGGGGACAAAACAGTAACTACCTAATAAGGTTATTATGAGGATTAAATGAGATTATGTGAGTAAAGCATTAAGGACAGGGCATAGCTCATAGTAAGCCCTCATAAATGTTAGCTAGTATTATCATCTTATCCTTTCTCTGACATCCTCATTTGACCTCTCCAAACCGTAGCTGATGCAGAACCACAGATTTATTTTATTTTTTTATTTGCTATTTATTTTTAGAATGAGTGTTTTTTATTTTTATTTTTTGAGACAGGGTCTGGCTCTGTAGCCCAGGCTGGAATGCAGTGGCATAATCTCAGCTCTCTGCAAACTCCACCTTCTGGGCTCAAGCCATGCTCCCACCTCAGCCTCCCAAGTAGCTGGGACTACAGGCACACGCCACCATGCCCAACTAACTTGTATTTTTTTGGTAGAGACCGGTTTCACCATGTTGCCCAGGCTGGTCTCAAACTCCCAAGCTAAAGCAATCCACTCATCTCCACCTCCTAGAGTGCTGGGATTACAGGCGTGAGCCACCATGCCCAGCCCAGAGAACCACAGATCTTCTCCATGACTGGCCCTTGGGGCAAATCAAAGACAAAAGAAAGGCAGGACTGCAGCACTTTTCCTCTTAATAAAGGAGAAGGACAGCCCAGAGACCAGGAGAGAGAAAAGAGTGAAAGAATGGTCTGGATCATAGCTCTGTTTTCTTAATAGCTGTCAAAGGGTATTGAGAACTCAGCTATCTTAGTGGAAAGTCAAGTGTAAGGTCAGAGCCAGAGATGTTTTGACATTTCTACTATCCTCCAGGACTCATGAGGGTGGAGGCTACAAATGTCCAAAAGCACAGACAACTGACCTTAAATATGATAGGATAATGGAAGGGGAGGCATGAATTCCTGCTGGTTTCTTCTGGGGTCTGTCAAGGGAATGGACTTCTGCTTTTCTAGGACTGTGATTCCCAACAGCCCAGACCAGAGCTGGAAACCAGAGCAAAGTGTTAATTCATCACCTGAGAGGCAGGGGTAGTGGCTTAGATGTTTCCTTCCAAGAGGCTTCAGGTACTCCTAAAGCATGCCCCTCAGCTCCACTGTACGGGCCCCTTGACATGAAGGAATCCCCTGCTTCATCCGTTTCCCAGGTAGGAAAACAGGAGCTGATATGAATTTAGATAGTGCATATGCTGTGTGACTTGGAGTTTTCTGACATTCTTCTCTGCATGCCAATGTCACTCCCGCTCCAAATACAAACCTTCAGATGGCCAGCAGGAAGCTGACCCCAAGACGATACATCAGACCCCCAGAGCTGGAGTCCCTCCCTGCTAACCTCCTCTGACCTCTCTTCCTCATTCCACTTCTCTGCAGTTCATCTTCTCCAGCCTCAGATCAAAGGTGCAAAAAGCCCTTGGGGAGAAAGGCCCTAGGGCCCCTAGAAGGGGTTATTATTCAAGCCAGTGGTTCCAATGAGATTATCCTCTCTAATGAAGCAGCTACCTCCGCCCTCCCCTAAGCCTGAACTTTCACTGCTGGAGAATTCCCAGCCAAGTGGAAAATTAGAAGGGAGAGGAATGAAGGAAGGAAGGGGGTGAGGGAGGGGGAGAGAGGTGGTGATTAAGTGCTCTAGAAATTAATTCCCAAATACAGCGATAGAAATATTAACTCCCAGTGCCACTGGCCAGGCAAACAAATTTCAATTTGGAAACAGGGCTATCTGTGAGTCCAGCCTGAGTGAGCTTCCAAGCTTGGAGAGGCCGATGCTGGTCGATCTCCCTGGGCTCTCCAGCATGTTTACCAGGCTTAGACATCAGAGCTTGCTCCTTATTTCTCCCTGCGGATGATCCCCAATCCTTAACTTTTTACATTGGCCATGACCTATGTTTAAGGTGCACCATCTGTGCTTAGAATTGAGAAGATTGAAAAAGAAAGGGGGTAGGGGTGAGGGCCTTCCCCGTGGACCTAATAGAAAAGTTAAGAGAATTTAGAATGCCTACTCAACTAGGAGATTATTGGAAGCTTTGGCCATTGTCATCACATCTGGGGACACTGACAAGGGAAGAGACTATAATTCCTAATTCAAAATCCTTGTCCTCCTTGAGAATGACCACAGTAATGGATAGATGTGCGTGACTTGGAGGAAGTGGAGTAGCTAGTACAGGGTCCTTCCTAGGCAGGTGGATGTGAAAGAGGTTCCTTATACATAGGGGTAGACCAGGTGAGTCCTTTCAATGTTACAATTCTAGGATCCAGTGACTGACACCATGGTCTCATGGAACTTGAAGT